ATACCTACTATATTTATTCTCTTGTCCAATTAGGTTTTACATTGACTGCTCTAGTGTTCTGTCCCTGATATACCCTTTGTAAACAGAAACTTGTGTATCAAGTTGGGGCGCTCCCTACAAAGGTTGTTTGCCTCACCCAGGTGGTAACTGCAGATGAATTGAAAGATGATGAAGAGTATGAGGACATTATGGAAGACATGAGGCTAGAAGCTGGCAAATATGGTATATATATCAGCTGCTTATTATTCCTGCCATTCCAAAATGTTTGGGCTTTTCTAGATATCTAGTTTTTGCTATGCACTTATATATATACTATGTGTAGATACATATTATATAATTTGGTATGGGGAGTACCATTTATTCTCTTGTTTTGGTTGCTGCATTGAGGCCACTGATCACCCACTGAACAATGTCTTATTTCTACATCCATCTTCTGCTTGTCTTTACCCATAGTTGAATCCTGTAGCTTTATTTATTTCTTTTGTTTTATTAGGACTTGAAGTTTGGACCTGTTATTTTATTCCCATTTTTTTTCCTCAGGTAATTTGGTGAAAGTTATCATCCCACGTCCTGACCCCAGCGGACTGCCAGTTGCAGGAGTTGGGAAGGTGAGTCTTGACTCTAGAGTTGTACTATATTGATTAGAGAGGTTCTCAAAACTTTGCAGAAACATTTGCATTCTATTGAATTATATCTCTGATGAATGAAATTTTCTATTGCAGGTGTTCCTAGAATATGCAGATATCGATGGTGCTGCCAAAGCAAAGACAGCATTGCATGGAAGGAAATTTGGTGGGAACCCAGTGGTCGCTGTCTGCTATGCTGAGGACAAGTTTGCCAATGGGGAATATGATGGATGAAAATCTTATCCCTCTTGAACTATAGCAGTAGTTGGTCTTCGGCTCTTTGCTACCCGTTTGTTTAATCGCAACAAAAATGAACAGTCTCATCTAAGCCGAACCTGTATTGATAGCCCTGGATTTTTGCTGAGCCACCGGTTGTGATTTGTGAACATTGGAAGAATAGGTTTCTGTGTTTTTGTTCCTTTGTTCTGTATCTTGTTTGACTATAGTTTCCGCTGGATTTCGTCGTGATACTGGTATGGGCAATTTGGCTGGCTGTTGCAGCAAGCTAGGAATACCATAAAAAGGTAATAATGAAGATGAATAATGTTTGTAACCTGCCAAACTATTCAGGTACAAGTTATGCCCATGATTTAGTTTCCTATATTGCTTTCGTTCTATTGTTTGCTGTGTATGCAGTAAGTTCATTCCACAAAATTGCTAAGCTTCAGTGTGCGGCAACCTGCAAGGGTACAATTTGGTCATGTGCGTAGGAAACACTATATTTGTTATAAAATATAAACTTTAGTTCTCATAAAAAAAATTGCATTGATTTCCGGTAACCTCAGACAATATTTCTACACAATATTTTGCATTGAAAACCATTCAGTTCCGTGTCTAAATTGAATTCTTACACTACTACACAGCAGAAAATCAGTGTCGGCTTATCGCTGTTGATTTGTGACATCAGAAAATCATTATCATTGTCGGCTTATCACTGCTGTAGTGATAGTTGGTCTTTTAGTGCTGGTTTATAACACGTGGGCTTTCACTGCTGGCTTATAAAAAGGGCACTCGCAACGGTGAGCTAGACAACTTTTTTTAATAATACTAACTTTAGCTCATAACTTTTAACATGAATAGTCTCATAGAACTCACATAATCTTGAAATGTGTGTAAGAGTTTGGCTCTTGATTAAGGTCTATTTGGTTGAGCTGTGGCTTTTGCAAAAGCTGCAGATGTGGGCTGTGAGCAAAGCCAAAAGTCGTTTGGTTGCACACACGTGGCTTTTGAAAAAAAAAACTGCTGTCATCTTCTCTCATTGACAAGTGGACCCATCTGTCAGCCTCACAACCTCCATCATCTTCTTCCTCTCGACTAGCACAGCGCGTTGGGGCTCATCGTCCTGGCCCGGGGAAGCTCTGCTCCACGAGATCCCGACCCACGCCGTCTCTGCTCCGTGAGATCCCGACCCACGCCGGCTGCCAGTTCCATGGAGGAGAGGAGGAGGAAGTGCGCTGGATCCTCATCAAGTAATTTGTAATTAGCTGGTAAAGTTCATATATATATATATATATATATATATATATATATATATATACACACAGAGAGACTAACATTGTGTTTTTACCCTATCAAGTGATGAGATGGTGCCGGGGGGAGGGCGTCGGCCGCCAAGGGGCAGGGCGCTGGGGCAGCGCATCGGCCGCCGGGGTGCAGGGCGCTAGGGGGCCGGGGGCCAGCGAGGGGCCCGGCCTAGGGAGCCGGCGACACCAAGCGTCTGAGCAGGGCTCGGGCGCGGAGCAGGCAGCAGGGTGCAGGCGCAGCAGGCGAGAGGGGGCCGGGCGCCGACGTCACAGCGTGGAGCATCGGGCACGCATGCAAGCGGGCATGCAAAGGTGCGGGTCAGGGCAAAGCAAGCGGGCGGTAGGTGAGGCATGGGCGCCGGCCATGAGGCCAGGCCAGTGGCGGGTAAGGCTGGTGGTGGTGTGTGTGGTCTTGATCAGTCAAGAGTGGGGTGGATCTGAGGGGTTTGCCGAGTGCCCCTAATCTGATACTCGGCAAACCTCATCTTTTGCCGAGTGCTAGATCAGGGGCACTCGGCAAACCCATTTTTTTCATTTTCACACTGTGTGTGTGCGGCCGTTGGGGGGGGGGGCGTTGCCGAGTGTCTCAGATCTGACACTCGGCAACCCTCGGTTTGTCGAGTGCCAGATTAGGGACACTCGACAAACCCAATTTTTTTTTATTTTTCTTCTTTTCCATACCATATTTTTCTAAAATTATTCCGATGTACTTTGAAAATACCTTGTCAAATTCACTCAATAATATATAATTGATTTTTCTACTAATATTATTCTATTATTTCATGCAGTTATAACTCAAATTCAATTTATATAAATTAAAATTCTATTATTACACTTAATAAATTAAAATTATCAAACGGATCCAAAAAATTACTAAAGTTTCACATGAAACAATCTATGTTCTCTTATTGCCTATACAAAAAGTTTTGAAGCCAAACCCCAATTTGACCACCACTTTGACTCCAAATCTTACTGAATCCTTCTCAACGCTATGATTCTTCTTCTGAGATGCTTCGATTTGTAAACATTGTATGTGACAAAATTATGTGACACCTTCTCAAATTTTTACCACAGCCTCCACGTATGATATCATCACATCATGATAAATCTCATGATTTTCAGACTTCGTTTGTTTTTTTTAGAATTTACCATTCGGCCACACGTTCGTGGTCATGTGTCTTGAATAAGATGTTCGAAATTTCTTTTCATTTCCTAGGTAATGCCTCACACTGGACTTAATAACATTAATATTATTTTTCTACTCATTTTACTCTATTATTTGAATCACTTGCGTTCAAATTTGACTTATACCAAAAAATTCCTTGGAATACAATAAATTAATTAAATATAGCAAACAGGTCCAAAAATATACCAAATCTTAACATGGGGTACCACATATTGTATATGGAGAGCAGAAAAAGTTTCAAGGTCAGAAGAGAAAAACTTATTATTTTATGCAGTTATAGCTCAAATTTAATTTATATCAATTAAAATTCTATAATTGCACTTAATAAATTAAAATTATCAAATGGATCCAAAAATTTACCAAAATTACACATGAATCAATCTATGTTCTCTATTGCATATACAAAAAGTTTTGAAGTAAAATCCCAATTCGATTGTCACTTTGACTCTAAATCTTACCGAATCCTTTTCAATATTATGATTCTTCTTCTGAGATACTTCGGTTTGTAAACATCGTACATGACAGATTATGTGAAACCTTCTCCATTTTTTACCACAGCCTCTACCTATGATATCATGAGATCTTAACAAATCTAATGATTTTCAGACTTCGTTTGTTTTTTTAGAATTTATAAACCATTCGGCCACACCGTTCGTGGTCATATTTCCTAAACAAAATGTTCGAAATTTCTTTTTATTTCCTGGGTAAGGCCTCACACTGGACTCAATAACATGGATATCATTTTCCTACTCATTTTATTCTATTATTTGAATAACTTGCAGTTCAAATTTGGCTTATACCAAAAAATTCATTGAAATGCAATAAATTAATTAAATATAGCAAATAGATCGAGAAAATATACCAAATCTAACATGGAGTACCACATGTTGTATGTAGAGAGTAGAAAAAGTTTCAAGGTCAGAAGAGAAAAAAACTTATTTATTTGCCGAGTGCAAAAAAAAACACTCGGCAAACTTATTTCTTTGCCGAGTGCTGAAAAAAACACTCGGCAAACTTATTTCTTTGCGAGTGCCACGAACGGACACTCGGTAAACTCCTAGCAGCCGGCACACTAACGGATGTCCACGTGGCAGTTTTTTGCCGAGTGTCTTCGTTTTGCCGAGTGTTTTTTCTTAGTTTGCCGAGTGTTTTTTTTTCAGCACTCGGCAAAGAGTTTGTTTGCTGAGTGCCATTATTTTACCGAGTGTGTTTTTTTGCAGCACTCGGTAAAGAACTTGTTTGTCAAGTGCCCGATAGAATGCACTCGGCAAACATTTTTGCACTCGATAAATCTGCTGTTTCCGGTGGTGCGTGCACTTGGAGGCCTTCATCTACAGGTATATGAAAGACTATCTGCAGGACCGTAAGTTTCCCAAAGAAACGGTACCTCCTGCATTGAATAAAGACTACAAACCGCCACATCTACTTGGCCTTCTCCGGTACTATACGGTTGGAAGAACCAGCGACACTATCAGTACAACAGTGAAACCCAAGAACAGGACGCCGATTTCAGTCAGTGCCATTGAGCTTGCCAAGATCGGCATCACGCTCAAAGCCTACAAGACAATGGACCTCATTGACATGGGCCTCAAACACAAATGAACCCTCTTCGCCGAGCTCTCCGTGGCGCCCGTGGACCGTGACCGTGCAAGCTACCTCGTCAACATGGTGGCTCTCGAGCTATGCACGGTCAAGAGCTTTTCAAAAGCTCCGGTAGAAGACTCCGTTGTCTGCTCCTACCTTTTGCTCTTGGCCATGTTGGTAAACAGGGAGGAGGATGTGCAGGAGCTACGGGCGCGGGGTCTCCTGAAGGGAGGAGGAGGGCTCACCAATGAGGAGGCGCTCCACTTCTTCACAAGCTTCCAAAGTCTACGCTTCGGACCATGCTACAACCGCGTCATGCGAGGCATCGAGATATACAAGGAAAACAGAAGGATGCAGACCAAGCTGTATGCGTTTTGTTACAACAACAAGAAAATCATCGCCGCGGTTCTCACCGGCATCGGTGTACTTGTCGGGATCATAGGGACACTCCTGTCAATCAAGAAATCCTTTTGATATATGGCTGTAGAGGGAGACACTTACTCATGATATGATATGTATGTTCTATATATGTGCTTTAATCGTTATATAATTTCCTTTGTAGTACTCCCTCCGTTTTAAAATGTGTCTCCATTAAATTTTCATCGTATGTCTGATCACTTGTACTATTTTCTAAAAATATTTGTGCAAAAAGAAGATTTATATAAATGTGCTAGTTTTAAGTATTTTTATGAATAAATCTAATTATTACGTACTTGGAGAAAAATACAGGATTAATATATATATATATATATATATATATATATATATATATATATATATATATATATATATATATATATATATATATATATGGAAAGTATATTAGAAGCCAGCTATAAAATAAGTTATTTTGTAGCCACCTCCATTTATGATAATTTTATATACTAATTTACAATAATGTCAATATATATTTACGATAGTTGGGTTGCTGATAACATATGGAGATATTTACTATAACATTATAGTAAACCACTTAGTAAGGAGTTACTGTAATCTCGTAAATTAATATAGTAATTATCGTAATTCAAAGTGGCTACAGAATAAGTTATTTTGTAGGCAGCTACATGATAGTAATTCTATATATATATTGTGTGTGTGTGTGCTGGTTATATGTATTTTTAGTCTAATATTTGTAAAGATAGAAGACATTATATATGTACGCGGCCTCCATTTTGCATGCAGTAAAAATATTGGCTCCATGCCTCCATCCTAATCTTCTTCTCGACCTATCGTTGTGACTGTATATATTGTCTACTTCTGTGTGGGCTCCCATTGAGTTTGTGAACTACAGGAAACCTGAATTACCATGAGAGCCGAAAATCACCAGGGGAAACAACCAAAACCACCAAGGAAATAAATCCTAGCCAAGAACCATCAAGCAAAATCAGCCAAAGGAAAGGGATAACGGAAATACATTTGCTTAGTTTGCCCCGAAGTCTGATTTTCCTGAGACTGGCTGTCAAGAAAACTACAAGACAAGTAAATAACTATCGGTAGAGGCAGATAACCGCCAAAGAAATATGGGCTGTCTACCAGACGTTCGGGTGTTTCTAGCCCTTTCATCACCCAGGTGTTGCAGGCCCAACGAAACGCTCGATTGCCCAACCCAAAAAAAATCATTACCGCTGCTTTAGTCAATTGACAGACTTGAATAATACGCTGCCTGTCTCTATCCAACTGTGTGCATGAAGTTTTGGGTGAGTGTGCATGCGTGTATGAAGTGGTTTACAACCGGAGAAGTGATTTTACCCACAGGGCTCCGGAGGAGCCGCTAGCATTGTTACTTTTATACAGAGTTAAAATGGTAATTTTAAGTTGGACCACGACCATTGCAACGTAATCTGTTGCTTGGAGGAAGAACACGTTTTAGCAACAAACCAAAACTTTTTTCGAATTTATCAAAACAATGTGAATTGCAGTGATGGGAGATTATAATCTCATTATCATATAAAATTCCTACAAATATTTTTTTTCTAAAATTTTAGTATTTAATATGAATGATACCCAATTCTCTATACTATTTGTTGCAGATCCACCACGTATATTAGTACTATAAATAAAAGAAAATAGTGGAACAACAGGCCAAGCTTGCTCAAAACTATATATATATATATATATATATATATATATATATATATATATATATATATATATATATATATATATATATATATACACACACACACACACACACACACACACACACACACACACACACACACACACACTTCAATGTCGATGCATGCAGACGTACTCACATGGTAGGTTCTACCTTCTATAAATAGCCATATCTCACTGACCATAAGATGTAGAGCTACCACAAACCATATTCTATCGTAATTCGTATCAACTCCATGTTACAATTTGCACCAAGTTGATATATATTCCGAGTTGGGGTATAATATATATATATATACTTCAATGTCGATGCATGCAGACGTACTCACATGGTAGGTGCTACCTTCTATAAATAGCCATATCTCACTGACACTAAGATGTAGAGCTACCACTAACCATATTCTATCGTAATTCGTATCAACTCCATGTTACAAGTTGCACCAAGTTGATATATATTCAAAGAAGAGAAGACAGCAGGATTGCAGGAAGAAAGAATTGGAAAATACAGGATTGGCAAAGCAACAATGGTGTGCGGCCAACTAGCAGATTCCGCGGCCAACTGATGGAATAGACAATAGTACTGTCAGATTCAGAACACACTAGCTGGAGAATCAGAAAGAAGGCAACACATTGCATTTTACTGCAAATGGGATTCAGAATTCAGATACAGGGAGTAATTTTAGTTACCATGGAAACTAGCTAGCAACAGTTGGATCATCTCACACTGACAGCATCGTAGATCATCGATAGACCTTATCGAGATTTGAGAGACCTGATTGTGCCTATGATACTGGCAAGCGCAGCAATCACGGAGATGACGGCTAACAAACGCGTGCAGCTTGGTTCGCGTCCTCCTGTTCACCTTGTAGTCCTCGATCTCCTCCATGGTGCGGACGTAGCGTGATCCAAGGCGCAGTCCCTGGACGCTCGTCAGGAAGCGGAGCGCCTCCCTGTTGGTGAGCCCTCCTCCCTGCAGGACGCGCCTGGCCCGCAGCTCGTGCACGTCCTCCTCCGTGTCCACAAGCATGCCGAGGAGGAGGAGATACGAGCAGACGGCCGACGCCTCGTCCTCAGCGTCGTGAAAGCTGGGGGTCACGCACAGCTATGTTGGCCCACAGGATCACTAGCTTGGGTGAGTCGAGCATCCGCTAGTGTTGTGGAGCACTCACTAGCCGTGCCGACTACGAACAAGCATTGACATCTAATCCTAGTACAAGACACCAGCGTTGGCCGAAGCCCTGTATGGTAAATGACAAATCTGAACTCTTTTTACTGAGTTGCCGTGGTAATCCTAGTACAGCTGCCATGCTGCAACAGTGACTAGATAACACAGCAGGGCTGACTCTGCGTCGGCCTCTCGCATGTAGCTACGATCTTTGCAGAGTGAGCCGTCACGTCGCACTGCACTGCGCAGCAAGATGATATCAAAGAGGGGGGCCTTTTTCGGCGCCGCCTTCCCTTGCTGTGTTCACACAAAGGCGGCAGTCTTGGACGGACCCACAGGGTATGCTAGGTGGGCCACCGCATACCCTGGTGTCCAGGTGTAAGTGAACCAGAATATAAATTTTTATGTAAGAAAAAAAAGAAAAAAGCTTACTACCTGGTGGACACGCCCGAGTACCGGACGCCTCCCAGCCGTTCGGCTTCTGTGTGGGCACGCGAACTCGCGCATACGGCGCTCGGCGTAGTTACTCCGCTCCACCTAGCTCGAAACCCCACCGGTCCCACGCATTGACTCACGCGCACCGCCTGCAACCATCCCGCTGGATCATCGCAACGCGCAAGCGGCAGAGTCGAATCCACGCGGTCACGCCGATGCCATCACGGAACGACGCCACGCGCCCAACGCCCACGCGGCCACGACGGTCGCCGACTTGCCAGACTCGGAGGCGCGGCCGCGGCGAAGCCCGACGCCGGAGGGCCTGCAACGTTATCGTCTCGGCCGGCTGCCGCTCGGCGAGATACTGAGACGCACAACGGACAGACAGGTTTAAGATTAATCTTCTTTTCTTCTTCTTACTTGTGTACTTAAATAGTTTTAATTATTTATGTATGAGTTATTTTTTTCTAGTTCGTGAGTTCATTCATCCGCATCACTACATCAGATCAATAATTAGCATCCGGTCATTAGTCCATCATATCTTGTGACTTGTGAGTTTTCTAACCGAAAGTTCCAAACAGATCGATTCTATATTATGAGTTATTTGGGTTTCATTTTGAACAATTTATATCGAGATTTATCGTCGTCTGTAGCTTAATCTTTTAATTTAAGGCTCATCATATTATTTAATGTAGTTGGTTTTACCGAATTAGAATATAGTTTTACCGAATTGTAAATGGTTTACCGAATTGCATAAGAAATTTTTTTACGGCATACCCTGTGATAAAATCCTAGGTCCGTCACTGGCAGCTGTAGATTATCTAACAATCTTCTCCTAATCCTACTGCTTACCCTTGTACCCTCTCCATGCCGATCATCTCCTTCAGCTCCGTGAGTCGAAGACGTCCGAGCGGCTTGGTGAGGACGTCCGCGAGTTGCTGACCTGTTTTGACGAACTAGATGACGATCTGCCCTCCATCGATACAGTCCCTGAGGAAGTAGAACTTCACGTCGATGTGTTTACTCCGATAGTGCAGAACTGGATTCTTCGCGAGGGCGATGGCGGGCTGGTTGTCCACCATCAGTGCTGGTGGGTGAGCTTCCACGCCGGTTAGCTCGCCCAGCAGCCGGCGCAGCCACACAACTTGGCACGCCGCTATGGCCGGCGCAACGTACTCTGCCTCGCACGTAGACAGCGCCACCACCTTCTATTTCAGCGACAGCCATGAAATTGGGGCCGCCCCGAGGAAGACGAGCACTCCAGAGGTGCTCTGCCGTCCGTCGATGTCTCCCGCCATGTCTGCATCGCTGAACACAGTGAGCGATAGCCTACTCCTGCTGGTCTTGGGAAAGATGATCCCCTGATCCACTGTCCCCTTGACGTTGCACAGTAGCCGCTTCACCGCAGCCTAGTGATCCTCTCTGGGATCCTCCATGAAGCGACTGACGTAGCCCACGGCGAAAGCAATGTCCGGCCTCGTGTGGACTAGGTAGCGCAGACCGCCGACAATGCTCCGGTAGAGTGTTGCATCCACCTTCGTCGCGGTACTGGCCTTCGTCAGCTTCAGCTGCTCCTCCATCGGAGTCACGGATGGCTTGCACTCAGCCATGCCGCTCCTCTCCAACAGCTTGGAGGCATACGCGCTCTGACCGAGCATGAGTTCCTCCTTCCCCTGTCTCACCTCGATGCCGAGGTAGTAGGAGAGTGCACCGAGATCACTCATTCGAAAACAAGCCGCCATCTAGTGCTTGAAGC